AAAAAACTCAGTAAAATGTACCCGCACACGGTGAGCTATCGGCTGAGCTAACAGGCACGAGTAACTTTTTGCTCAGCAGATAGCTCTCGTGTGCGGCAGGCTTAAAGGTTCAGGCATTCAAATTAGAACAATGGTGAATTTCTTAAGCCTGCAGCACACGAGAGCTATCTGCTGAGCCAAAAGTTACTCGTGCCTGTTAGCTCAGCTGATAGCTCACCGATCAAACATGTTTGATACGTGAGAAAAGGTTGCATGAGGCAAAAAACTCAGTAAAATGTACCCGCACACGGTGAGCTATCGGCTGAGCTAACAGGCACGAGTAACTTTTTGCTCAGCAGATAGCTCTCGTGTGCTGCAGGCTTAAGGGTAGCGGTTTTTTGAGACACCCTGTAGAGCGATGGCTACGTCTGAAACTCCCCTGAGACTTTAATTATTTATTTCTTTTCATTGACTCATTGCCTTGGTTGCCGTCGTCGTCGTGTTGCCGTCCTACATGCTTAAGCTCTCTAATGTCAACACGGAAACGTCGGAAAATTTCTTTCTTTATATTTATTTGTGCTATATTATAAAACAAATATAAAATATTTTTTCCGTATTGATATACAGGGTGTATCAAAAAAACCGCAACCTCGGAATTTCCTAAGAAATCACTTTGCAATTTTTAAGCATAAAAGATTTTAGGCCCCTGGGAATTGAAATCGAATTGCTAATAGATCATATTAGTGATATTACTGTTGTTGTGCATTAAATAAATGCATAAATTTTGCTTTATGCACTCGCGTGTGCTCGCTTATGCTATTTTAAATTCCCAGGCGCCTAAAATCTTTTGTCTTTAAAACAATGTCGATGTCTTGGGAAATTCCGAGGTTGCGTTTTTTTTTATACACCCTGTATAGTTATATCAACACTCGTGGGAATTGGGAAAAATCGAAATTGTGTGAAAACACTCCGCCCTTCGGGCGTCGTGTTTCCACACAATTTCTCGTTTTCTCAATTTCCACTCGTGTTGATGATATAACTGTGTATCAACACGGAAAATGTTTTATATTTGTTAAATATTAATTTCTGTACTAATATGCTAATCCATAACAAAATGCCTACTTTAAGGTAGCAACTTTTTGGGAGTTGGGGAGTAGTTGGGAGCATTTCTTCGAGCTACTTTTAATCAATTTTCTCAAATCTTTAAAGCCCTGGCAAGAATAATCAACCAGATTCAAATTCCATCTATCTAATTATTCATTTCCCATACAACCTAGTCAGGGGCATTGCAATGCATGTAAATTACATGAAGATTAAAAGCCAAGGGAGAGGTTTTTGTTAAACTGTGAAGACTGAGGGCCGAAGGCCCGAGGTCTTCACAGTTTAATAAAAACGATACCCGCGGCTTTTAAGTTGTTTATATACTCATGATCAGACCATATTCTCTTGTATTTCGGAGGTTTTCTTCATTAAAAATTCAAGCTATCAATTCAACGAGAGGTTGCGGTTGTGGGACGAAATAAGGTGTGGCATGCGCATTACATACGCTTTAATGTGGTTAAGCATGCGCAGTATATCATTTCACGTCCCACAAGCGAAAGAGCAGCAATAAATTCCCTGCACAAGCAAGTTTGACGGTTGATCCAGCTAGTCCTCGTGCGCCGAATGATAGATACTCTTACCTAATGGTAGAGTTTGACGGGCTCTGAGGTACACGGCTGTTGTCTCTTTCTCGACTCAGAGACGTGCAGCGTTTTTTGGTCGAAAAAGGACATGTGGGTCTTGAGTTTTCTTGCAAATTCAAGTCCCGAATTCAAGACTTATGCGAGGTGTAACAACCGAGTAACCGGTTACCGGGTATTACTTTTTCATAATAACCTGGTACCCGGTCTTTATTTTTGCATAATAACCTTCAAGCCCGCATTTCCCCTGGAGAAATCAAATACCACCGCCTGCTTTTAGATGAAGGTTATTACGGAGAAGTTAAAAACTGACGAAATACAAAAGAATATGCCGTCTGATGAGTTTATTTGATTTTTATTGGGTTCTTAGAATGTGCTATAGGAAGATAAACCGGTTTGGTGACCCTTATGTTTTCTCCAAAGAAGAAATAACTGTTATTGATCAACTTCAACCTGGAGATCATATCGCCATTGAACAAAACGGTGTGTATTGGCATCACATGATTGTTGAAAAGGTGGATAAGGAACAAGGAGTAATTCACGTTATTCACTATTATAATACTGCAGAAGAATTTCTTCATGAAACCATGCCAGATAAAGCACTGGTGCGGCAAAATTCCTTCGTCTTTAACTCTGAAACGCAGGTAACTTAAAAGTAGACAGGCACATACACACATTTTAACAAAATTGCAATGAAACAGCTAGTCTAAAAATCATTTTTCATTGGGCAATACATGAAACCGCGGATAGAGTTCTAATTTGTGTGTGGTGGAAAGAATTTGTAGATCTGAGAGAGATGACACAAACACAGGTATTGATAACAGTTGACTACATGTGACATGCTGCGTGAAATCTGTGTGGTGTTATAAGCGTACGAGAGGGGGGCGCTGAGTGCTGCAGACCCCCCCTCCCCAATCATTTTTATGTTGGGCAGATTTTACTTAAATATCGGGCAAACGAATGATGAAAAAGAGGCGCGGCGCCACCCCCCGTCCTCCCCCCCCGTCGACAGGAATTCTTCCCGTATGCCCACTGTGCTTCGCGGGCTGTGCATTGCGAACAACTGCCGAACAAGGTTTAGTGAGCATCGTCGTGCTGTCATCGACAACTACTTGCGTCCTGTTGCCACTTGCCAGACAACAGTGATAATCATGGCTTTCTTCTTCATTTCCAAACTTTTCACCTATACAGGGTGTACAAAAAAAAAACTGAACAGATTTGAAATTGCTCTCAATTTCGCAAAACACCTATTTGCATCCGGTTTTTTATATATATAGCTTCTTTGGGTACTTATAATGTAGAATAATGAAAAAAATTTCTCAAACTCAAATTTTGTGAACCAGGGCGGTGTGTCTTTTCCAACAAACTAAAAATGGCTCGCGCACAAAATTTAAAAGCTGTAATCATATTTTGAGTTAATAGATGGAAACTTTGTCGGGGTTTTAATTACTGTACAAAATTTCAGACAATTTGGTTGAGTTTAAGCCCTTTAACTATTCATTTTATTTTAAAAAATCAGCCTTTCGCATGCTTAATTAATGCCTTTACCTAATTTGCATATTGCTAACATGTGCAAATTAGGCAAAGGCATAATTAAGCATGCAAATAGCTGATTTTTAGGAAAAATGTAACTTTGCGTGAATAGTTAAAGGGCTTAAACTAAACCAAATTGCCTGAAATTTTGTACAGTAATTAAACTATTAACTCAAAATATGATTACAACTTTTAAATTTTGTGCGCGAGCCATTTTGAGTTTGTTGGAAAAGACACCCCCCCCTGGTTCACAAAAAACCGGATACAAATAGGTGTTTTGCGAAATTGAGAATTTTTTTATACACCCTGTATATAGTTAGCCCTAAGCTGTATGCCTGACCATATGGCCTGACACATCTCACCCATACATGTTTCTTTTATGCACATTCTTCCCACCTATATTTTCAATATTAAAATATCATGTAATGTGAACATTTGTACCGACTTTGTTTTGAATAAACCCATCTGATTGGTTTACTTTTACAAATCAACAATCATTTTGTATTCATCATGCTTCTATACCTTCCAGCCATTAGATACGTACGTTGGAATTTGTTCTTATTTTTCATTTATTTGCATCATTACGTCAACAATTTGTCAACAAGTTGTGAGTGACAACCTTGTAGCAACTTGATAAAATAACAGCGTTGTTACAACTTCATGTGTTGTGAACACATCTTGTTGATAAGTTGCGTGTGCAGTAATTGTCATAGTGGGGATTGAGGCAAATTAATTTTTCGGATACATAAAAAACATTGATTATTTTTCTTTGTATAGGTGGCATCGGATTGTGTACAAAAAGGTCGTTAACAATGCTGAAGAAGTCCTGCTCAAGGCAAGAAGGTCTCTTGATTCGCCCGGCTACAACGCATTTCTTAACAACTGTGAGCATTTCTGTACTTGGTGCAAAATCAACAAACGTGCCAGTTCACAGATCGAATATCTAGAACTGTGGATTTTGAAATTCTTGCCCGCATGTCATCTACGCCTGCTTGCAGATGTTGTCACGATAGCAAGAAACGGTCTGCCTAAATCTCTGGCAAAAGGTAGCGTTGTTGGCGCATTGAAATGTGTTGTTAATGCATTTGGAATGGTATTTGAGTTTGTCGTGATCGCCATAGAACTTGCTATATTAGGGCAGAAATCTGAAAATGGAGAAATCAACGATGAAGAATATTATGAAGCCGTGACGAAAAAGCTCTGCAGTGGTTGTTTTATGTCGGTGTTTTGTATGATTGGTCACATGATCATCCCAATTCCCGTTGTTGGTTGCATTGTGGGAACTATTGTAGGCCTTGCCATTGGCTACGTCACAAACTGTATTGTCTTCACTCGACCATCACCGTGGGCACGTCTTAAATCTGTTATTAAACGAGTTTGGGAATTGGCAATAAAATAGAAAGTCATGTAATAGTGAGCTTTAAGCCCAGATCAAACGAGAGTTGGCAGTCATACGATCTTAATTAGCGGTTCATACTTCATAATGCTTTACCAACACTCAAACCTTTATATTCTGTTAATCTCGAGAAGTTAAAAACCAGATTGCCTTCATTACACATTTAACGCGGCTTACTTTTTGCATAGTGGCGTCATATAGTTTTTAAAAAGCTCCTAGCTCAAAGTGATATTTCCTACAAACAAGGAAAGATTTTGATGAATGAAATTGAACGTACTGGTATTTAAGTGTTGAATTTAAACATAGCAAGGTTTATCTGTGTAACCCTAGTGCTAATAATAAACGAAAAATCTCGCCTTCTTCCAATTAGTTTCCTATGCTTTCGGAGGACTCGTTATTTCCTGTGCATACAGTATTCTGAAATTCATGAACTTTGCTGGATAGCTTTAGTGGTCGGATATTATAGTTCAATGGTCATGGAACACTGTTATAGAGAGTTGGTAGAAAACTACATAATATACATATACAGTTCATAAATATAGTTAATTTCTTGTTTCAAAACAATCCCAGCAAGATTGTACCAACAGGAACCAGCAACTATATATATTTACCACCAGCAACTATATATTTACCATTCAATGGTTTAACAAGGTGAGATTAATAAACTACAGATTAGTCTACATTCATTAGAACTTTGTTGTGATGTCTAAAAAGACTGGAACATGACCGTACAAAACGGATATGCATATAGACGTACCTTTACTTTGGCCCCGACGATTTTAATCGTACCAAAGAGGCGTGTATTAATCCTTTGCATGCCAAGAACCCAAATTACGTCTATCCGTCATAAGGTTAGGAAATGTTCTAATCTTTTTAAAGTTCACAAAGTGTTCGTCTAACAACTATCTTACTTTCAATTACTTGTTTAAAGATATATCAGTGAGGTTAATAATATTCAGATTGATATATAACATCTCCACTCTACTACACTATTCATTGTGAATACATTAAAATTCTTTACATTTACTTTGCGGTAACAACCATTTGCGTTATATATGCAAGCTAGTAACGCTACATTCATGCACAAACGTCGTGGTTAGTTATATGCCTGACTAAATATGTTAAATTATTAAGTGAATGGGTTTTAGCAGACTACGTATGCAATTAGATAAAACGTATATATATATATGTCTTTGATCAGTACAAGCGATTAATGTTTCTGAAATTGTTCCACTTGCAGTTGGCAGGTCAATTGTCAGTATTGACAGACAATAAAATATTGTCTCATGATATAAACTTTCTCGGAGACTGTTATAGTGTGCAGTATGAACAAACAGATATGCTGATAAATTCATGATATTCTTGAAACAATATCTGCATTAAAACATATTTTCAAAGTAATCTGTTTGGTTAAAACCACGTCCAGTCGAAACTTTCACATATAAGGAAAGAAGCATGCTGTTTCAACAATTAGTTTCAGCTGGCCGTGGCTTTGATTAAAAAACAGACTTTGGTGCTGAAATTTTGTAAATTGAACAATTTTCACCAGACAATATATTAATAACTTTAATATCAATCAGATGTTTTCCTGGAATTTATGTCTGGCAAAACTGACAATTTTGATTTTAACTCGGTATTGCTGCTGTTAAAAGATTATAATTTTATAACTCTTTTATAACTAATCTCGAATCCTTTCTTCGCTTCGCTCCCATCACTTTGAAATTGTAACCACATGTTATTCCCAGTGCTCTGTAGCTCGAGCCCAGTCCTCGTGCCACAAAGTCGCGCGATCGTTGGTGCATTTTCATCAGATCCGTCTGTTATTGTCAAGAAATCAGAAACACAACCATCATCTACCAACTCGAAGATCTGAAACTTTATTTTAATCACATATCCTTTCTTAGCAGCCAGATGCCATGTACAAGTTGCGTTAACGGTTGAATTCTTCAGGTTGAATTCAACATGAGAGACTATTGATTGTTCATGTTTGTCAGCATGAAGACGACCACCGCACACTAAATAAATTGTTAACAATCATGTTTCATATAAGAACAAGGTTAGGAAAACCATGTCAAAACGGCAAGAATCGGTCTGCCAACAGGCCGTCAACAAGTTGTATTCGCACTGCTTGTCCTAAGTTGTCAACAAGTGTGGAACAAGCTTTAACAACTTGTAACAACCTTGTTGATATTATTGATGCAAGGTGGCATTATCAAACTAGCTTGTTGCAAGGTTGTTCCAACAAGTCTGATACAGTAATGATATAACAATATTGTTATAACCTTGTGTCGTCAACCTTGTAACATTCTTAATTGTTATAACCTTAGAAAACCTTATAACAAGTCTAATAATGCCACCAAGCCTGTTACAACAATTTACAACAACTGGGGACAACCGGACGTGCGAACACACCTTGTCGACAGCCTGTGTCATAATTATTTCAAGATATAATTATTATATTTAAGTTATGCAATAAACTTCACTAATTAACCGCCCAGAGTAGCTTTTTGCTGCCTGCGGTTTAGTATAATCCCATCATTACAGTATTTTCTTTAATTGTGATTACTTCCTTTAATTGCGATTACTTCAATATTCCACTCCAAATTTAGGCAGCTCTCTTGGCCAATCAAAACTCTTGAATTATTTTCAGGTAAATAATAATTATCATTATTCATTACTCAAATTTAAATTATAATAATTAATTTCTAATCTATAGTGTGTAACCATAGCCTATCGAAGGGAAGATGGCTGTGAAACTCAATAGAATAACGATATAGAGAGGATATTACACAGCGGCGCGAAGATATGAGTTTTATCTTTCGAGTCGGGGTGAAAACAATATTTTACGAACGAGCGCAGCAACTGAGTAAAATATTGTTTTTAACACGAGAAGATAAAAGTCATATCTTCAAACCACCGTGTAATGTTCTGTTTATTATATAGTCCCATCTCGTTTTTTTCCGGTTCTTCGTCTTTTTCCGGTTTTTCGGTGCTTGGACTTTGGCAAAACCGAAAAACCGGTTTTTCAAAAAAGGGACACCACCGCGGCATAATACCCGAAGACCGCGTATAACCGTTTGGAAGCCTTGGTGACGACTGATCGAATTTGCAGTGTGCATTGGATACACAAAATCTGTCGCCTCCATTTGCAATCACGTGAAAATGGCAGCGTCACGTGATCTGTTCTAGCTGCCCCTGCTTTGAAGTTGGGGCAGCCAGAACAGTTCTGAACAGTCATGTGATCGTGTTATGTTCCATTCCATTAGTGTTCCCAAAATCCGTAGTACTCCGAACAGTAGTAAATGGAGCCTCCCGAGGTTGAAATGTTATATACGTTCCCGGCATTGACTCCCAAGAGTAAAAAAACCCAGCTGAAGCAGGGTTGAAATTTCAACCCCGGCGTTGAACTCAGCCCTGGGTTGAACATTTCGTCATGTAATCGCGCGTTTGATTTTGATAGAGTTTTGTATTACGGACAGGGTTAAAATTTCAACCCGGTCAACAGGACTGAGTTCAACCCCGGGCTTGAAAATGCTCCATGTAATCGGTCCCTTAGGGACCAATAGTACGTGTGATGTTTCATGTTTGGACATTTTGCCAAAACATTAGCATGACAAAATTGGATAATTCTCAATGTCAACATCGTATTCTCTCCCAAAGCCCAGCCCTGCCAGACTTTCAACCAAAATTTGAATTGGTGCTTTAATTTTGTTCGTATTTTCATTTAGTTCTTTTGCTTCAAGTTCCTCTAGAGCAATTTCATTTGTGTTTAAATACCTTTCCGCCATTTTGTTGTTTGTTTTGGGAAAATCATTAATTGTACCCAATCAGCATCCAGTAATTTTGTCATGCCGATAACAAGTACTGCAAGTGTAATATTAAAAAAAAAAACAGAAGGTAACATGCTTACCAGTTTCATAAACAGCACGGAATCCTCTGTCACCATGAGATGTATCAGTCCAAAAACGTATCACCATCTTATTTAACCTCGAGATTTGTACCTTCTGTGCCTCACTTGGATTTTGTCCACAAATTTTCTTTTCGGAATCTTTAAATCCTGATTCAACCAACACATAGTCATATTCACATCTGTTTCCATTTTCCAGACTGAAATCCTTAAAATATTGGTGATAATTTAAATAAAATTTCTCTTAATTTTGCATACTATATTGCCCGTATATAATTTTGCCCGTATCCCCTTACTCCTCAATGAGAGTCACTTTAACTCCTGAAATGGGGTTAAAGTAGCCCTAAAATTTTAACTCCACTAAAAAGGAGTAATAGGGGAGTTATTTTAACTTCCTGAAAATAACAGTGTGAGACTACAGTATTGATGCAATCACATGTGCATTGTGGAAGGTGGGCAGGTAATAAAATAAACACTCGAGAAATGGTCAACTTACTTCAAACCTTAGTACGACACGATGTCCAGGAGCAACAATGATATTCCATCTCAAATCTAACTGATTTTTATAAATTTCTAGTGGATAGCCGGGTGATGTTATTATTCCTGTGGGGTCGGTCAGCACTGGGTGCCTACCACCTGAAAGAAACAATAACTTAATTTTGAACACTTATTATTGACTTTCAATTGTATATGGACGTACGTATTTACAAAAGTTTATAAAGTCATTTATTATATGGACATGGGTGTTTTACAGGAAACTAAAACACTCATATTTTCCATATTTGATATTTCACTAGTGAAATATGAACAAAAAATATGCAACGCGTGTGTTTCCTCGCGTGACTGTCGGAGTTTTCCCACTTTGTTTTGTTTTTATCAACTTGTTTTTATAAAGTTATTAAATTATCGGGACTTGATGCAGAGACATCGTTTATTAATAGACAATTCCCATTATAGACTAATTTTAAAACAAGACAAGTAGACTCAAATAAATCACAACAGCTAAAAAAAGCATACTAAAATTAGTAAGTGTGCAAAGATTGGTTGTGAAATGTCGTAAAATGCGGAAAATATAGCCGTGCCAAGTTCGCATATTTTGTATACTTTTGTATTGCGTGCGGAATTCCTACCACATTCCTACCACATTTGGGCCGAAAATGGTCGCACGCAATACAAAAGTATACAAAATTTGCGAAATTTGCAAGGCTATATTTTCCTTATTTTACAACATTTCGCAACCAAACTTTGCAAATTTACTAATTTTAGTATGCTCTTTCTAGCTGTGGTAATTTATTTGCATCTCCTTCCCTAGTTTTAAAATTAGTCTATAATGGGAATTGTCTATTAAAAAACCGTTGCTTTATAACTTGCGTTTTTGAATTCTGTAATTACAGGCGTACAAGTTTCATGTGGTTGCCAAGTCTGTTCTTATCGAGTTTTTTTCTCCATTTTTGTCCATATAATAAAAATAACGGAGGCTCGAAAATATGAATATTATTTTCTCGTGTTTGTTTTTACCACTCAAAATAATATTCATATCTTCTCCGCCGCTTATAACTATAAGTCTTATGAGCTGTATGGCTGAATAAATCTGATAAATAAGCTTATAAATCTAATTTGTCGTAAAACACATCTAATCGTGGTGTCTCTGACTCTGGCTACATGCGAGCAGATCAACTATTTGCCGATGCCAAACGGAAGGCAGAGGAAAATAATTGATCAACGAGCCACTGACAAATCACGATATTTTGCGATAACCGAGTTCAATCATTGTTTTATCATTTACTTATTCATTTTCGAAATTTTGTGGCCGTCACGAAGTTCAACAAATCTGTACAATAACAATATCTGAAAATTTAACAAAACATGTTTACTTTGTGTTTATTTGAATTGTTTTTAAAAATCTTAAATGCGCATGCGTAAATCGATATTTTGCAATTGAGAATTTATTTCAAAAGTGCGCATGCTCAGACCATTATTTGCACCAGTTATTTGCAGCTGACGTATTATTCTCACCAGTTATTTGTAGGCAAATTTAATAGCCAATCAACGTTGAAAAAATGAATAAGTAAATGATAATAAATGTTATTCGTAGATTAAACGTGCTTTAAAACTATAATATTTCATATTTGAAGACATTTTTAATCACTAAAGCAACGGAACAAGGTTTGTCTTTGGTAATTGGAAACTGAATACAACAATTCTGAAAATAAGTGCGCTTTATACTTACGTCAGGATGCGACAAACCAATGATGTTTTAACTATATTTGGATTGAGATCACATCATCACGATGTGCAATACATAGAATTACACGCCTGGGCTAGCATAGCCGTCCTAGCTTAGCAATTGGGTGAAAATAATTTATTTTATGCCAACGGATAAGAAATACAGTATTGGCTTTACAACATTTGGGAAAATTTAATATAAAATGACAACAAATAATATAACAAATAACTACCTTCAATACATTGACGTTTATCGTCATGTAAAATAAATCCAGTTCGACATTTGCAAATATATCCACCAATCAGATTGACACAATCTTGTTCACATCCTCCATTCTCCTCTTGACATTCATCTTTATCTAAAATGTCAAACACATTTACTTTTTTTAGATAGTTTACTATCACTTGACAAAAACGTCTCAGAAATTCTGTAGAGTAGCATTGTTCTTCCGAGAGATGCGTGCAATCTCATTATAATCTCCATTCTCCGAATTCAAGCACTTCCAAAGCCTAAATAAGTTCATGAAGAATTAAATACAGCCACGCAATGGTCATGCTGCTGATGCTAACTTGGCAGGATTTATTTACTCTTTTAAAAGGAGTACGTAGGTTTCCAGCCTAATTTATAATAAATTCATAGTGTTCTGGTTCGTGCCAAATTAAAAGTTATTCTAAATTCCTGGAATTGTTCGGCGCGTGTTTGGAACGCCATGGTAATGTATTCAAAATGGCAAAAATTCGAAATCAAAAAGTCATGAAAAGTAAATCAGCGTGATTTCTGGCGTGTTCCCTTGGCCTTGGGACTTTGTCCAAATATAAACTGTCGGATCTTTTTAAATATTATCTTTTGTAATTTACTTTTGTAATTTACTTTAATCTATCTAGCAAGAATGTTGTGTTACAGGAGAAAACAAGAAATCAACACTTTGATCACATCATATTTGTCCATTCAAATTTCTTAATTAAATTATTATTAGCCAATTTAAATTTACTAGTAATAATTTACCAGTTCTACGACTGTATGAAATTATCCAGTCCTACGACTGTATCGAGATTGTTTCATTTTACTAGATAAACAAACGCAGACAAAACTAAACTCACTCGCAGCAGATCTACAATAGTACGTAATAGTTTAAACCATAAACTAAACCAAACTATAACCTAGTTTAAACTATAAACTGAACTAAACCAAATTAAATGAACTAAACTAGTGTTCTGAAGTATTAGGGAGGTTTAGAAATATTAAATATTAGAGAGGTTTAGATTTGACTTTCACTACCTCCCACAGGCTTAATACGCATTTGATTGGTTAATCGGGTTATCGGGTAGATTAAATGCATCTGATTGGTTAATGGTAATGGTATAGAAGGTGTTATAGCAGTACCTGTACGATATTCAGCTTCGAAACCTTTCTTAGACATGGAGTTATCCGAAACAAATTCAATATACATTTCATTAGTTGTTGACATCATCACACCTGGATTTTTATTGCCACATAAACGTGTCGTATTTTTCTTGTTTTTCACCACAAGGTAATCGTAGCAACCTTGACCCTGGTTACGAAAAAATGATACACTTTCTAAATTCGTATTCTTTTGGTCAGTTCTGAAGTTACAGTATATTCCCAGGTTCATTATAGCTAACTAGGTTATGATGTAACTAAGAAATGTGAGCTTAATTAAGCCTGTTCTCCACTAGGCGAATTTGTTCGCGCGAACAGTAAAAAAGTATAGGAACTGATCCAACTTTTTCGCGGCGAATTTTTTCGTTGACCAATCACATTGCCAAGATTTGTCTTTCGCTTCGCGTCGCGCGAAAAAATTCGCCTAGTGGAGAACGGGCTAAAAGCAAGCGACATTTTTGTCACAACAGACGTCAGATTACCGAGGGGGAGAGGACTGGATTAAAAACTGTGTTTGTATCAGTTTGTGGTAATCTTCAACACACATTACAACACACAAGACTTTTTTTCTTTCTTACACGAGCGCTATGATGCAGAGTGCCGCCAAAGTGAGCTATACCAATTTTACGGGTGACGTCCGTGTTGAGAAAAAATTTGCTTGCTTAAGCTCACTATTAACTTAGGAATGGCGCGAGCCTGGGGTGCCTTCATGCTATAAAGTCATGGAACATAGCATCATGGTGCTAAGGGAAGCTAACCAGGATAATATAGGTCAGCAATTTACTTGCAACATGACAAGTTTGGCACTAATCCCACCTACAATTGCACCAAAGGCCACTCATCGCCCCTAACCATCCACACAGCGAAGTAACTGTGTGTTACTTGATTGGTGTTAATATAATGGATTTTTTATCCATGTTTTCAATCTGGAAATTTTGTAATGTACCGGAGCACTTTCTTCCAATTCAAATTCTTTAAAACTCAGTTTGATTGTATGTAATGGCGGCGCTCTGATAGACCAACTGCATTTCTTGTTCACTGGGTATCGGTCTGGATAACTTGGACTCGTTATTGTTCCGTTTCTATCTTTCAGCTCGCCACCACATGCAGCTACAAATAAAAATATCACAAACAATTAACATGCACATAAAGAAGATTATTATATGGCTTTTCAAAATTCGCTATTCTGATTGGTTGACAAGCGGTCCGTAAAAACCCATATCCAGACCGTGGTCCGTATTTTCCGTATCTGGACCGGTGTCCCGGATGTCGTTTATCTGGCGGGATATTTTTGCTTTGCAAACAGAAAAAAATTTTGCTTTTTAATTTTCCAATTGTGTGTCATTAAAATTTACAGATAAAAATTTCAAACAACCAAATTGTGTTTGATTGAGCATGCATGCCTACCGTATATTATTACCCAGTGAAACTGACGATAGCTGATTTAATTCGCGCGAAAAGCATATGCTCACAGACTCAGTTCAGCCATATAATAAACCGATTATTGACCTCGCTTGTTCGGTCTGTACTGTGAAATATCAGACCTCTGTTTTTTGCATGGACCACGCTCCTTCGTCGCTCGGTCCATACTAAAAAACCTCGGTCTGATATTTCACAGTACAGACCTCACGCTCGGTCAATAAGCCGTTATTACTTTCTCTATTCAAACAAGAAATGTCACAGTTTCAGGGATATTACACAAACCAGCAGCTTATTGTATAATACGACCTTGAGATATTTTCACGGTAGTTCAGACACAAACCATTAACCGCGACAGCTTGTTGCAGAATATTACCTACACTGGACGCTCACGATTTGAGATATCGTTTTCAGATTTATAATTCAGAAACAAACCACGACAGCTTAGCTTATAATATTGTAGAATACTATACCTACACTGGATGCTCACGATTGAGATATATTTTTCAGATATATAGTTCAGACACAACCCACGACAGTTTATTGCAGAATATTAACTACACTAGACGCTCTCGTTTGAGATATAGTTTCAGGTAGTTCAGACACAAACCATGACAGCTTATAGTAGATCGTATTTCCTACAAACCCTCATGTTTGAAAGAAATATACCTTCGCAGTCCTTTCCATTAGAGTGTAGTTCATATCCAGAGTTACAGTAACATTTATAACTTCCTATCGTGTTTTGACATATATGTTCACAACCACCGTTATTTGTTTCACATTCATCCACCTCTACACAACAGAATAAATCAGTAATAAAAATGAGAAAACTGGGGACTAATGCTGTAATCTTTAAAACAAGAGAGGTGTTACCACTACAGTATAGTGCATTGCATTACATGATATAGGAAAAGAAAATGTAACGTTTAAATTTTTGGGTCAAGCATATTCTTTGTTTGCAATCACGTGAATTTTCTTCCAAATGACGGGCAATGAAACAACTTGTGGACGATTTTTCTCCTATCAGAATGGTTGTAGCAAGAAAAACTGAACGGTAATTCATCTTTTGAGTCTTAAACTGTCTCTAAACTCGATCAATACATTAAAATAGCCGGGTTTTGTTATCATGGGCGTACGGGAAGGAAAAAAATAGAGGGGCGGAAAGAAATTTTCCCGACTTTTTCGGATTTTCACCCGCCTTGTCAAAAAAAATTTTCCGGAGAAAATTTGACAGAATTTCCCACAAAATTGACAGAATTTGTCCCATTTATTTTTATAATAAGCCAATATTGCCAGACTGTGAAGCGAATATTGCCCGACTGGCTTTGTTTGCCCAACAAACTGGGGGGTTGCCGCCCTCTCCGCCCATGTTTGTTATACCTGCCCGTCAACTGAAATCCCAAAAGTACGTCATTGCAAACAAAATAAAAATATCATGGTCATGATGGTAAGGATAAAAATACTGGGGTTTCTTCCAAAAGATTTCTTCAAGATTACACGAAGCTAATGTAAAATACTTCAACCTACCACTGAAGAAATTCAACTTGAATCCTCTGCCATCCACGGAATTATCAGATTTAAACCTAACACGCGCTTTGTTACTTGATGTAACCACATCTTTAGGCACAACTTTACCACAAAGTCTTGCCAACTGATTAATCTGATTAAGTCCATCATAAATTGTTAAAGCATCATAACTGCAATTTGTTTCATCTTCAACATCAAAACTACTAAATGTTATTCCAACTTTTGTCCCCTAGAAATTGATAGAGCTTTCTCTCAGTGAACTATCATTGGTTAATACAATTTACCAACTACAATATGCACTGGCCACCTCTTATTAACAGACACTTATATCAAAATGTCTAAATTAAAGTGATTTTATCCAATATCATCACCATTTACCGAAGGGAAGATCTTAAAAGGCTAACCCTATCTTGCAAGACAAGAATGTTTTAGAAAGACACCTCATATGAATATCGACAGTCCTCTCTGTTTGCCGAGTCTAGGTATGAGACTGTTAATTTAGTTTGTCATTGTCTAATAATTTTCATTTAGGGAAAATAAATAGAATTCGTTGTTATTGTTCTAGTCTGAACGTCTGAAGTTTGCCTATTGTATTCTTGGTTTTAAGCGCGATTTTCCTCATCAAGCGCCTGGGTGTAAGGCTGCGGAGTAAAACCTTTTAATTAAACTTTAAAACTTTGCCAACCTCTTTAACAATAACATTCCAGTTACATAATTTGTTATATCTGTACGAGAGAGGGTAATTTGGTGACTGAATTTCTCCTTTCTCAAGTTTTATGACACCGCCACAGACAGCTAGAAACAAAAATAATTGACTAATGTAAATTTGGAAAATTTACAGCTTACAGTAAATTAATTTGTGTTCATAGATTAATCATTTTCTTATCATTTTTAATCATGTCTTTAGTTTACCTTTGTAGCTGAAGAGGAAACGTCCTTTCATTCTCGTTTTCACCAATAATCTATTTCCGGTGGAAGTTATTTCCTTCGGTGGTTTACGGCCTCTGCAGTATTTTCCAATAAGTTTGGATTTTGAGCGATAACCATCTCGAATTTCAACATAATCAGTTTCACAACTTGTGCCTGATATTACTTCAAATCGCTTAACATTTAAAACAATTACTTCTCCAGGATTCGTAAAAATTCTCCATTCACATTTATTTAGAATTCGGCTGACAGGATTCGAAATTGTGCCTGATTGTTTCTGTAATGTTCTTCCACATTCTATGAAATACAATGTTGAAATACAATTATGAAATACAATTATGAAATACAATACAAAACACAATTATTTTACGTCATCATACACAAAGTGTAACCATATGCCATAAAAAAGACAGGCATTCAAGGAGTACGCACAAATTGCGGAGATTTCATTTTTAGCTTCTTATTTTAACCTTCATGTAGTAAATTCCTAAAGTTCAGGAGATTTTCTCTCAATATTTTTCTACCAACACTACAACAGTAAATCTTGTTTGAGGGATGCACGCCGAGCCCCGTCACCACGCCCCTGTATATACACATAAATAACAAACATACATAATTAATATTACGTACTTGGGCAATTGTACATTTTCTTTATTTGTTTCGCATCTCCTGTACTCAAATGTTTCCGCTGACCAATCTCTGCCAGCAAACTTTTCGAAATGTTACCCTTTGGAACAATCACATTCGAGAAGCTTCTCTTAGAAAATAGATTAGGAGCATAATGCATTATGCTGGCAAAATCATATTTTTCTCCCAACGAGTTCACTTCGTCATTGTTTAATATGACAAAATTATTTTCTTTTCCTGCAATATAGTTTATAATAATTTAGTATTCTGGAATAATCAATTGAATTGCTTTCATGTGGAAAAGATTAGCAAAGAGCACAAATTTAGCAACAAAGATCGAAGAAAAATAATTTAGTAAAGGATTTTCATTATTTTCTGTACTTCACTACACTTCACTTCATTTCACTGCAGTGCACTTCACTATGTTCCATTTTATTGCATTACATTACATTACATTACATTACATTACATTACATTACACTACATTACATTACATTACATTACATTACACGAACCATTAAAATAAATTCCAAAACAACTTTACATGTACGTTTAACGTATAACTAAAAAAATAACTAAAGTAAGGAATGCAGTCATCACGAGGAACATGAGCAGTCATGATGAACGAAACTGTCATAAACAACAAGTATGCTCGCTGCTTTAATGAAAGAGTTACAACAACTTGTGCTTGTATGTAATAGACAAAGCATGAGCGGCTATTCAGATATACAAACTCGAGCCGAAGGCGAGAGGTCGTATGTCTGATACAACACGGACGCGAATGGTGAAACGTCTCGACGAGAACATTCGTATTCTTCAACAATTTAAAATAAATGAATGATATTTGGTGAGAAAATTGAACTTAAAGTTAATGTAAATCAGTATGATTTTGTATAGATATACAAACTCTATCACGCTCATGATTTCTTTTGTGTTTTCTTCATGAATTATTAATGCATTTCACAAAACTAAATAGCATGTTCATCAGTTGTGAATTAATGCGGGGGGGGGGGGGGGGGGGAGGAAGGGAGTGTGCACCCCTGTTGCAAAAACAAATTCTTAATTTTGATGCAAACGACTAACATTAGAAGTATTTCATAATGGAAATATCAATTTCATTTTCTCTTTCACACAATCACAGTATCAAGAGAATCGGGGATTTATATTTTGTAATTATATAATTATTAAAGTATATTTATTCAACATATCTGTAAATTGTAACCGAGAAACTACTATAAGTGCACTTTCATGACAGTACGCTGCTGGCCAGTACTGGGTTTGGTGTGCTTGGCACCTCTCTAAATCCACCATTGATGTTCATGGTTCATTCGTATAGGATATATAAGGATATACTTGTAACGTCATTATGTAACTATTTTGACATAATTATTTACCTTCCTCGATATTGTTTTGGACAATTTTGACATACTTATTTCGATCCGGACGTGTATGTTCATGCCAGAATCCCAGAGCATGGCCAAGTTCGTGGACTATGATACCGAAGTGGTCACAATCTTGACCAATTGAAATACCCTGTTTACCATTCCCCTTCCTGCCCACGAACGAACAACAACTAGCAAATTTAAAAAGAAAATACACAACTCCATGAAAATTAGAAATAATGTTGATAGAGAAATACATACTTAGTCAAGTGCTATAATTAAACATAATTAAACGGGGACGGAAAATAACAACGGAGATGTATTTTAAAGTGTTTATGAAACGGAAATACTTTAATATCGCAAAAAATAAAATCCGGAACATGACAGAGTAGAACTTGCGCTTTCGTAAGTTTACTCACTTTTCTATGTATTTCAATTTATATAATATAATCAACTTTTTATGTCAGATGCACAGTGAAATATTATCATAAACTGTTGATGCAATACGAAGTAAATAAATAAGAATATTCAATTCAAACTGATTTACAGCCTTGCAGATTACATACACCAAATATTTTTCTATATATAATCTTCCGATGTTATTTGCACGTAATACTGGAAATTTTTTTCAAAACCCTTATTTTGTGTAAATAGTATGGATCTTCTTTGGAAATAGTACGGAAATCCAATTTTCATACAATTCAGTAATTGCAATTTCAATATGGGTATGGTATGGAAATAGTATGGATATATTGTGGAATCAATTGAAAATTCCATAGTATGGGATTTCACAATTGTTCCAGTGTTTGTGATTGGTTGATTATAACAATGAAACAAAATCAAACTACAGGAGATAATAAATTTTCTAAAGAATGACTGAGTCCCAAACGATGGTCACTTTTGCAAGCCAATCACAAAACATGTTCATTTAGTATTTATCCGAGGAAATTTGTAAAAAGAGAAAACCTTGATACACTAAACAAATTTCTAGTCTGTAATGTACAACGTTTTAATGTTACATGAAACATTAATATTAGGTAATAAACGGAACCGTCATTGAAGAACTGCAGTCGGGTACAAGCGTGCTTATAATGATGGTGCTTATAATTTGGTGCTTATAATGATGGTACTTATAATGATGGTGTGCGTGGTACAGGCGTGCTTATAATGGTGGTGTACGGGTTTATAGTGATTCTAATAACGGTGTGCGGGTATACAAGCGTGCTTATCATTGGCGTGGTAACACAATAGCACAGGGATGGAAGAATTAGCGCACCATGCGACATTTGGTTGATAGGAAAATTAAATGAAATCAAAATGAACTCAAATGACAAGGAACTGCAGTTCGGTAAATACAAATAAATATTAACCTATCAAACGTTATCTCTTAACCATTCCAATCTGGAAAACGCCTATATTCGAGGGCAAGCTAATTTCCTTAGTAAACAATAAACCTAGACACAAGTTCAGCGTGAGCCTTTATTTTATAGTTTAATCCAATAGAATCCACCGTTATAGTGCACAGTTATACCTCATACAGTATACAGTTAGGACTTGTCGATATGACCAGAAAAGTAAAATATTTTCCAGCCATGGACTATAACAGAGACTGTGGGCAGGGGACATCCTAAGGCCTCCCATTTCCCAAAACTGGCAGTCCAAAAATTGAGTTTTGGAGTTTTACATGCGAATTATATAGATATAAATTAAGCATTCATACAGAGATTTAAGCCTAAAACCAAATTTGGCTCTGAAAACGCAGGAAATAACCATTCTGGACTTTCAAAATTCTATTGGGCGAGCATTCGTCCGGACCCCATAGATATTCAGGCATGTAATACGTCATAAGCTCATGTCTCTCCTTGTTGAAATGGGCAGTTCTAATTTTTTCTTAGGATGACCCCTGACTGTGGACACAAATCCCATCCAGGGCATTCTTGTTTCAACTGTACATATAAATAAATCATTAGTATCATCAAGATATATCACATACCCACAAGATCCTTTTTGAAAATAAATGTAATCCCTCTCTGTGGTATGTTCGATAAATGTTAAGCAAGAGTTATTTTCCCAATGTCGCATAGCTTCTAACATGAGCAACTTTTGACCTCCTGAAAAAAAATCGAAATTTTACAAAATTCAGTAAATCAACAGATTACTAACCTATGTTGGTGAAAATGTACAAAGCGAATTAAGCCTTTTGTTCCTGATAATACCTTGCCAAACAGTATATATACAGAGCTCTAATTCAGCCTTATTTTGTATTGCTCTCCCTTGTGGGGAAACTGGCAAAGTATTACAAGATAAGCTCCAGCGTTCCAAGAACCGTGCAGCAAGAAGAATAGCTGGAGTCAATTATGAAATCAGAATTGTAGAGATCATTGATCTTTCGCCCCCCCCCCCCCTCTTTCGTTATAAATCCTCAATAACCACACTGCTCCCAATTTAAAACCAAACACACTGTTCCCAAGAAGTGATATGAGAAACAGCATATGATCTCAGAAATAATAATATAATCTGTCACTTCCAATGTCTAAAAGAGAATTTCTAAAAAAAATTCAAATACAGCGGAGCTAAGTTATGGAATGTACTTCCGGCTGATGTTAGACAGGCTCCATCGATTTACATATGCCTCGATAATTTCATAAACAAATAAACACTTTTATACAGAAAAGTATCAATAAACGTTATTAATTCATCGATAATAATAGTTAAAGATGATGTCCACTCCGCTCTGCGCACCAGTTCTGCTCATAACAAAGGGGGACCCCCAGATATAAACATTGCCCAAATTTTGCATCTTTCGAACTTTTTTGAATTGAAACGTATAGTTTATATTCATTTACAAGTATAGCGAACCAGAAAAGTGTTAGATATTCAGTTAGTATATCATATTTTACAAAGAGAGCAGTTCAAAACGTAAACAAAGTTCGCGCATGTGCACAGGAGTGGACATCATCTTTAACATTTGAATCATTTAACAAGTATGACGACAAAAGACCGCCTACAGTTTGCCCCAGGCCTTGCGAATTCTCTCGGCATCCTTTAAATGAATAATGCAATATTCTATAATTAACATTGAAATATCCACGAAATGCAGTAAAAACATCAAGAGGTCTTGTCATAAAAAACCTTTGAAGTACACTAGATATTTCGAAAGATCATGCATGCAAAAACATATAGCTTTCTGCGACATAGTATTATATGTCTATTGATAAGATAATGTGAAAAGGTGTGTCATTGTAAGTGTTTTCCTAACCATGGTAGCGTATAAAATCAGATTACCAAATACAATCTGCCATCTGGATTATATTATACAAATGCAGTTTAAAATAGTTACTTCCCATGACTAAATTCTATGAAAATCAATCTTGTTAAAAAACCGCTTCTCATGCGTATTAGTAAAGTACATATTGTATAATAATTTCTTTTGAATTCTGATTGCGTGAATAATTCTGATCCAAAGAGTAAAAAAGATAATCTGTGTTTATACTAGAATCATTGTGAAGTGCATGCACTCGAAAACCACAAAACGTTTAAGGTGCAGCAAGATTATCTCATAGGATTCTCATGTCAGTTCCTGAATGCATAATTCAGCCCAATCCAATTACTCCAGTCAGATACATAGTAACAAGGTTAAAAAATGTGTATAGGTTTAGAGGATTATTACTTAAGAGAATGATCGTTTCGCAGACATAAGTATACTGTCCCGTGCATGATTTTTTATGGTTTCAACTACAGTAAACCTTTTCCATTTCCCAGTAAAACAATCGCATTTGTTATTTATTGACTTAATCTGGGATTAAATGATAAACTTTTAAGTTTAAATGATTAAATGATAAACTTTTAAGAGTTAAAACTCTTCAGAATAAATACAACGAAGGCGTGCCATACTAAAATTATTTACCACTACGCTCAGTAGATTAAAACGTCAAGCGAAGGTAAAATGTCTACTGTATATATATAAAAATTCACTAATATGGGAGAGAGCTGGTGATCAATCAGTGTTTTAAACGAGCGTGAAATTATTTGTCTCTTGTGATCTATAGTGACAGACTGAATTGTTTTCACGGGAAAAGTTGTTCACCTTTTGTTTTTCTTATAAAGTGTTTGACAAATAAAATGTAGATTTGCACATCTATACATTTGGATAGATTAAAAAATGGTAAATTTACGATTTAGATAGTTCTTACTGGACAATTACTTACTTGTTGAAAAAATAAAGACTATCTTACTTATATAGTTTGCACATAACTGCCTTTGCTATATGGCAACAAATGCCAACAATGACGTTTCAAAATGGCGGGTATTTTGATTTTAATATATTCATTTCAATGGTTTTAACGTAATTAAACTCGAAAAAGACGTCAAAGACCCCCGGGGATATTTCATTTCATAAAATGCTTTCTCTTGGTGTATTAAATTATTTTGACGATTGTAAAAAAATTTTGTCGAGCCAAAAAGATTATCACGAATAACAGCATTTATTTATTTATTTATTTATTCATTTGTCACACACATAAAAGATATACATTTGCATAGAGATATAACAATAACTGGAAAATGCTGTGACAGGAGAAGAAAACAGAAACTAAATTCCAATTGATATTCGACCCCTTAACAATTAATGGATAACGAGACGTACTAGGACAATTATGTGCGAACATATCACAGATTACATGCAACTTAACATATAGGATACTGTACAACGAGTTTTAGAGTAACATTTTCTATGGTGGTATGCAGGTAAACAGTTTGGCTTTATAATAAGTGTGTAGATGTTGCTTGAAGGTCTGTGGGGAATGGGCGGCTTTGATGTTAGATTGTTCCTTTGATGTTTGGTGGTAGATTGTTCCAGAGGATGACGGTACGTGGGAAATAGGATTGTCGGAAGAATTCTTGATTATTGGAGACGACTATATTATAGTTGTTAGGGTCGAAGTTGCGTGTGGCATAGGGGTTAGTTGCAGGTGTAAGGTATTGGTTAAAGGTGACATTAAGAAGGTTGTATTTGATTTTGTATAATAGTATTATGTATCGATCAATTCGAAACTTCACCATCCCCCCCGGGCCGACCCCGGGAATTTGAACTTTTTCAAATTTGACTGATCAAATTCTCCACCCCCTGTGCAAAAAATGTCTTCAAATGCCCCACTGTAACAAGAAATTAAGCGTTGAAATGCCCCACCTTCATATGAAAATTATGAAACAGTAAATACAAAAAGTACAAAATATACGGAAATGTTTTTCGACAAGATAGCGAAATTCACGTAAAAAGTTTGGATACCTTGTGGAAATTTAACAGTTTTACACAATTATGTAGTACATACCTTCAAATGAAGCACATAGATTTTCCATGCCCGTTTCTTTGAGCCAGTTTTTCACAAAATTGAGGCCGTTTCCCTCGAAATCTGAGAAAACTGTATTTGCCGCCAATGCGAAGTATTTTCGCGAAAACGGGCAAAATGTTAAGACTTCCGGTTCAAATTACCCACCCCGTTATCAAATGCCCCACCACATGGAAGATCTAGAACGTCAAATTCCCTACTCCCTGGAGAAGACTTGAAGTCAAATTCCCGGGGTATGCCCGGGGGGGGGGGGATGGTGAAGTTTCGAATTGATCGATACATTAGGTCATGAAGTTCACGCCTGTGTTCAAGCGGGAGAATGTTTAAGGATATTAGTCTGTCTCTGTAGGTAACATCACGAGGAGGGTAGTTCATAATGAATTTCGTTGCTCTGCGTTGAACGTTCTCTATTAATTTACGTTGTTTAGCCGAGTAAGGTGACCACACACACGTTATGGTTTGTTATGGTTTGAAGCAAAATATCCGCCATATTGAAATGTCATTGTTGCCATGGCAACTCTTTCGATATTGTTTTATATAAATCATATACACTTTCTTTTCCACCAATATAATAATTGTCCAAAAATACAGATCTAAATCGTAAATTTTAGCGAGCCATGAACCGTAACTTAAAGTTTCGTTCATGCCGTCTCCACATGTAAACGTTAAACTCTATAAAACAATTACTATATTTTCTCATTGACATAGAACAGAAGCCAGGCCCTTAATTTGTTGAACATGCAGCAGGGTTCGTAGTCTCCAAGATCAAAAAATTTCAAGGACTTTCAAAGATTTTTTCTGCCTATTGTCAAAGACTTTTCAAAGACCTTTGAGAGCAATCAGGTGTCGAATATATATATATATATATATATATATATATATATATATATATATATATATATATATATATATATATATATATATATATATATATATATATATATATATATATAAGCACCATTTTTACCAGGTAATTAGTCCCGTCAAATCACATCCTAAAATGCACTTTTTCGTCGATATTTGCGAAAATCTTGCTTCAATCAATCTATTTTATTAGCTAGGAAATCGTATAATCAAATAATCATTAACGAATTTAAACACTTTTAAAGACTTTCTTCGCTTTTTCTCGCACTTCAAAGACTTTTCAAAGACCTTAAAGACCTGCATTCAAATTTAAAGACTTTCAAGGATTTCAAAGACCGCTACGAACCCTGTGCAGACAATGACCATTTTGGAGCGTGTAAACAACTCTTGCAGCTCGTTTACTGTATGCATGCAACTTTTACTCCCTATAGTGAAAGTTTTTCTTGCTACAAGATGTCCATAGAGCAAGAAAATATGGACCTCATGATTGAATTGCAGTGAAGGTCCCTTTGGCTTTGCTTGATAAGAAAATAAGATTTAATTCCGCTAAGAATACATATAGTATATGCTGATATTACAAACATGTCAACATGGTCCTGAAAACTTAGTCAAGACCCAAAGGCTTAGCTTGTAATCTAATAGGGAGAGAAACCTTTTTTTCTTCTTCTGTCTGAAATCTACTTTACAAAACCTTCGTGTCACCACATGCTTCACCGTAGCACTTATGGCACAGAATAAGGCACACAGAAGGGCCACTTACGTCGGAAGCTTTGAAGTTTCTGTCACCCTGGCCGCCATCTTCCTATAGCCAGTCGATAACATTTTCTGGCCAATAAACGCGCTGTATTGGCTGGAGGCCCCGCCTTCTGGCCAGTCAATAATTCAATTGCACATTTTTGCATAGAAAAATGGCGACACGTTGCACCGCTGAGTGGCCCTTCTGGTACTGATCCTTATTCTGTGCTTATGGTTTGAGGTGTTTACGATAGAACAAGGAGCCATTATTGTATTAAATGACAGATGATGGACATGAGATACAATTAATCACGCGATCTTTCTAATAAACGAGTAAATCATGCCCATAGTATGCCCATTCGCGGGTTAGGTGGTTGGACATGACTTGTCTTTGCAGAAATCGTGATTTATACAATATACACGAAGATTACAAAAGATGACGATTTCTTTGTACAGTAGTTTAGCTAACTTTACTTGTTAGTATTATACTAAGATAAATATACTATTCAGCGCTTGTTTGCACGAGAAGACTGGAGCCTAGGCAATTTGGGGTGCAAAATGGATAGGAAACAGCAGACGATATTATTTGAAATTCGTGATGTCACAAATATAACGAATATAGTAAAGTTTACTGCGTTTTTCTTCCCTCGTGAGTTTCGTAATCAAGAAATTGGCGTCACAAAAGCTACGATTGATATACTATTGAAATTTGTGATGCGTGTGAGAAGTCATCAACACGTTGAAAACATCATGCATGATCATGAGTTTCCTATCTAGTGTTTTTATGATCCACAAAATTAATTTGGTAATAATTGTTTGTATGACTGCCTTGGTCAGTCTAGAAAAGCTTTGCCATACTATGTGTTTCCAGGGTTCCTCATTTTTCCTTAATTCAAATGTTGGCTACATTACAAACTAGGCAGGCAGGCAGGCAGGCAGGCAGGCAGGCAGGCAGGCAATACTTTATTTAAAATTAACAAAAAGGAACACGCTAGCCCCTCAACTCTGGGCTGATTTCCATGAGGGGCGTGTTAAATATTAAAAATGTTTGAAAATAAATAAATAACTATATCTAAATACTATATATATACACACTTTTCTATATACAAATGTATGCATGTCACTATCCAACATTTAATGTAAATGAGTGAAGCGAACTTGCCAGTTTCGCTTCATTTGGGAGCTGATTCCAGTGCAAAGTACCACTATATTTAAAGCTTTTTTTTAAAAATTATCTTTTTGGCTTAGGTAATGTAAGGTCTGTTGCAGTATTGCGGAGATTGTAATTAGTTTGATCCATTTCTCTTCCCACAAAAGACCCCCGAAGAGCCGGCGCAGTCTGGTCATTAAGTATTTTATACATCAATACTGACTTGGCACCGGAACGTCTATTTTCAAGAGTGTCTCACGAGAGTGAGTTAAGAACATCAGCCGACCGAGGCTCATAATTAGCACCTGTTACAACCCTCGCTGCCCGGGATTGAAATTTTTGGAGCTTATCTCTTAACAACCGACTTGCCACAAGTGTCCCACAAAGGGGAACAATAATCAAAGTATGGCTGTACCAAGCTTTTATAAACAGATTCTAATGTATGCATCGGAACAAAAGGTTTCATACGTCTCATAGCGCCAATAGCTGCATTTACTTTCTTGCATATCAATGTATTAATATGACTGTCCCAATTCAACATATGTGTACTGATTCGTGGTATGGGTTTTGCATTTACCATAATAGGCTCTTCACACCCTAATTTATTAAGGTGCGTGGAGCCAACAAACATCATTTTACATTTAGTTGGATGTATCTGCAATCTATTTTCTTTCATCCATTCAAAAACATGAGCAAGGTCCGAATTTAGCTTTACAACAAGTTCATTTGCATCATAAGACGATGAAAATATTTGAGTGTCGTCCGCATATACATGCAAGGAGCGGTTGATCTCAGACAATCAGGCAGATCATTAATATATAATAAAAATAACAGGGGCCCCAGTATAGAACCCTGAGGCACTCCACAGTTAATCATTTTTTTGTCAGACAATTTGCCATTAATACTGCATTGCTGTACTCTAATATTCGAACCATTTTAGTTCCGAGCCAAAGATTCCAAATTGTTCATTCATTTTATTCAATAAAACACGATGATTGATAGAATCGAATGCCTTTTTAATGTCTAGAAACACAACACCATTTATTTTTCCATTGTCCATGTTTTCTAACCACTCATCACACATTTGGATAAGGGCAGTAACAGTTGAATGTTTTGGTCGAAAACCATGTTGAAATTTTGACAATAGAGAGTTCACAGACAGGTATGTATAAACTTGATGGAAAACTTCCTTCTCAAAGGCTTTGCTCACTATCGGTAATACAGAAATTGGTCGATAGTTCTCACAAAGCTTTTTATCTCCAGATTTATAAATTGGTGTTATGCGTGCTTGTTTCCATTCATCAACATATATGCCTGTTGTAAGCGACAAATTAAAGATAAATGTTAACGAAGGTGCAACTATGTCGGCAGATAATTTTAAAATTTTAGCCGGGATTTGATCCAAACCTGTTGCTTTACATGTTTTTAAGGCTTTTAAAGTCGAGATGACATTATCAACAAGTATTGGATTGAGACGTTGGGCTTTAACTAATGTCACGCACACCAAAACGAGGCTCTATATCCAAAGTGACGTACTTTCCAGAAGGGTGTATTGAACGAATCTAATCCCCCCCTCCTCTTGGCGGCGCCACTGTTCCGCACACAGTATATAATACATTGACTTTGAAAAAGTGTTCTGGCAACATTTAGTCACTTATCGTCGAGGCATTGTTTACATTAAATAGTATTTAACTTCAAGTAAGGGTTTAAACTTCCTCTGAACATCTTGAAGGTCGAGTGCCTTTATTTTTAAAGTTGTAATAGCTATAAATATAACTGCATGGAATGTTTTTATACAGGCATGCAGAAGTGAATTATAATGACGAATGAGTCATTTTAAATCCTGTGCTTGAGTAGGCTAATTGATTTGCAGCTAATAGATTTGTACTCACGAACGATGTTCTGACGTAAATGTATCATCATAAGTTGGCAGTCAATGTAGGATTAAGCGTGGTTTCCATATGGTCGGAACGGTCGTAAAGATTGAGTCACGATCTTTCTCATCAGCCGAAATACAACGTTTTAGAGCTGACAACATGCGGAGTTATTATAACTAGTGAATACTTATGATTTATAATAATAAAACTTTATACCGGGTGGCCCAAAAAAAAGTACTCCTGTTTGATTCGTAATAACTTCTAAACAAGTAAAGTTTTTAAAAAGAAATAACTTGCATTAAATAGAGGAAGGACTAACTTAGATTTTGATATATTACAGTTGTATTTAACTTAAAAATTCACGGAGATATTAATGTAAAAAATGGGGAGCATATTTTGGAATGTGTCTAAAATTAGCGAAAATCGGCATATCAAATATTAACTCCAGCGTTTGTTTGCTTAATGACATATTAGGCTAACTTGTATTTCAGCGAATTATCGTTAAGGTTTGTAAGGGATATGGCGTAGATTTAGACATCTTACATGTAAGTCTTAGCTCATTGTTTCCTGAAATATGAACGTTCGAAATTATGCAAGTATTTAATATTAGGTCTTTGCAAACTTAAATGTACATGAAAGACTGACCATGGAAGGCAGGCGCTTAAATTTTTCGTATTCTTAAATAGCCTAATTTTTTTATGTTTTTAATGGGTTCAAACAGACTGAGTAGATTATTTCTCGGTTAGAGCAGGATGAATATTCTTTATTGAATGAAATAATATTGCTTTTTGCAAATACACATCACCGTATCAACGCTACTATTTTGTTACGTTTTGTTCCAAAAATGTTGCATGTCTCTGGGGAGTTGCTTAATTGTTATGTCTTATGGAGTTGTATGGTTTGATTGTGTTTCATATAATTCTCAGTTTACTCCATGAACTTGCCAAGATTAAGAAACGGCAAAAGAGTTTGGGTGTTCTTAACAAGATTTCAGAACGTTGCAGAAGTTAGAAGAGCTTCACAATTCCCTTGTGACAGCATGCCCTAATTCAGAACTACGAACGATCCAATGACGATCCTTCGCGATGCAGTGGTCTCATGAAATAAGGAAACGTATTCGTGCTAGGAACACACGCGAATTTCGGACGAATGAATCTTGCTTGTATTTTGTAGATATAATAATACTTTGTTTCATAATAAACAATTTGTCAAGTGTCATTTATTTACTGGTAATAGTGCATGTTTGAGTCGGGCAAATCTTGATTAATATTTGATACGCCGATTTTTGCATATTTCAGAAACATCCTGAAATATCCTCCCGAATTTAAAGATTAATATCTCCGTGAATTTTTAAGTGAAATACAACTGTAATATATCAAAGTCTAAGTTAGTCCTTCCTCTATTTGATGCAAGTTATTTCTCTTTAAAAGCTATACTTGTTTAGATGTTATTACGAATCAAACAGGAGTACTTTTTTTTGGGCCACCCGGTATTCATAACAATATATGTGGTTAAATGTGGTTTGCAGGTATAAACTATTATAAACTGGCCGTTGAGAAAGATCGTGACTCTATTTTTACAACCATTACGACCATATGGAAACCAGACTTTAGGGAAGTTGAAGGGAGAACATTTTTCAGTAAATTGAAATTTATGTGTGTTCAGTCTATACCGGGTACGACCCAATATTTCTTGAAACATGTTCTGCACTTTCTGTACCATGCTGAGACGCCATAGGCATAGCAAAATTCATGACATAAAAATATTTATTATATAAACATGAGTGTTATATAGAGTTTTTGGCCACTGGGAAAAATCGTATTTAAACATACGTAAAAAATACGATATTTTTACGTGTGAAAATATCATTTGTTGTAAAACGCATTGCCACGGACGTTTTATTGTTTTTCACCGAATTTTGTTTATATAATAAACAGAAAAATACATGGGTGCTTGGAAATACCAGATTTATTTCTCGTGTTGAACATGATATCTCATTCGTTCGCTGCGCTCACTCGTGTGAGTCGTGAGATATCATGTTCAACACGAGAAATAAATCTGGTATTTCCAAGCATCCATGTATTATTCTCTGTACAGTATATACTTGAATTTTGTATCTAGTTGTACTTGGATATCTTTTTTTGGAAAACAATGCAATTTCTGTTTTTAGCTCAAGGTTTTCGTGAAAAACAGCTGTTATTTCTTGCGAAAGTAGCTGCAGGGTATTGAGAAAACTACTTTGTTTACTGAAATTCCCCAAATACGTTGGGATGATATCCAGTGGCGTAACGCTCATTGGGTAGGGTTAGTTCAAAAACTAAGGGCCGCCCAGAGAATTAAAAACGTAAAAAATGTAAGTTAAGAATCAATCGGAAAATGCAAAATAATAATGCTAAATAATAAAGCCTCCATCGACAACTGTAGCTGATTTTTTATTCCATCTCAAAAATAAAACAAAAGTTATTCTTATTAATACATAATAATAATAATTACATGTGTTGGACACTGTTATTGTTATTGTTATTGACACGGAATTTTCCAGAACATTCTATGAATATTCAATATAAATATAACATCTACGCACTGATGATATGTGATGATGACTTTGAAATAAAGTCGAAAATTTTCAAACATTCGTCTTTTAATAATTCAAATGTTGAAAAAATCACTGCAGCGGAAATTCCAAACAAATGTATAGCTATATATAGAGTACTATAGTGGGAAAAAAATCGCCGTAACTCGCGCCCTGAATGTCCTGTCCAAACATCATGAAATCTTCGGAATAGACTAAATTCGAGCATGGTCATGGATTTCAATTGCGAGGTCCATTTTTGGCAAAGATCTGTATAGACAGTGAGATGAGAAATTGGTGACGTCAACTTGGATCATTCCCCACGTATCTTGATCCAATATTTACACGAAGCAGTATGATACTTGAACGTGATTATTGCATGTTGACTGTTTACTAAACCATCAATACGCGAAAATTGAGAAAATGCAGAAAACGAAACCGTTATTAGCACTTCTACATAAAGTGGATGTCTTTCAGCGCCACAATTACGTTCATTTCTGTGGTCGCGGCAAAAAGATGAGTCAACAAACAAGCATCACGCAATAAATTAAATTAATATTAGTCCGATTAACGTATCGAACGTTACTTAATAATGGTTCGTTTATTTCATAGAATATTTTTTTAGGAAAAAATATTAAATCAGATTAAAACTTTTTTAAAAGTTAGCTAGACAATTTCTAGACTACGACATAGTCTGTGTCACGAGCGTCTGTGACGCAGGCTAGACAATTTCCTGCCTTCAAAGTTATCAACATTTACGTAAAATCATACTATACTTCCTGTTGTCTATATTCACAATATTGTTCTGTGTTCTGCATCTATTTTCTATGCATGATTGTATATGTCATGGCAATGTAAGAAACTGAATTTAGGGAGTGTTCATTATTTATACCCGGGGTTGGTACCGAAGAGAAACTAATCGAAAAGAGAAAAAAACACCCACCCTTTCGATCAACCATTTTTTCCCGTACCCAACTATTGCATGACTTGGATTTTTATTTTACCCAACCCAATTTCAAAATTATACAAGTATTTTACATATATACATATATATTATTATACAAGCTAGGCCACTATAGTATAAACAGTACTATGTACTGTTTAATAAACGAGTAGTAGCGGAGTGTTTTATATGTGATAAAACACGAACTACGAGTTTATTAAACAGCTTCAAAAACTCATTAATAATTCATGAAGCAATTATCCAATCTTGAGTAAGAAATTAGTCATGTGCATACGTCTTTATACCAGCTAAAGAACACTTTAACAAAAGACCATTGTTATGCAAACTATATAAAGGTTTTTATATAAAGGTTTTTATATAAAGATTTTTATATAAAGATTTTTATATAAAGATTTGACTTATTATGCATACGTTTTTGAAGTCATTTAAAAAACTCGCGGGTCGTGTTTTATTAGGTCTAAAGCCACTCGCGCTGCGCGCTCGTGGCTTTAAACCTAATAAAACACTCCCGCTCGTTTTTTAAATAGTACTTCAAAAACGTCTCAGTTAGATCACGGCATTGGCGAAATAATTTTCCAAAATAACTTTGTATTAGCTGAGAAAATACAAGTTGAAATTCGAAGCGTGTTTTATCACATATAAAGACACGCCACGATTATGATTTCTCTTTGTGTTTTCCTCATGAATTATTAATGAGTTTTTGAAGCATATTTGGTGCACTAACTGAATGTCAAGTATAATCATTTGTACCTTCACAAGATCATATTATGTTCCCAAGCCTCCAAGTTCCTGCAGTCCTATACCATATCTCGTTGTTGTAATCAGAGGGGATGGGGAGTTGTTGTCTAGTTTTCTTTGTGGGGAATGAATGGATATTTCCTGGAATGACCCATTTTGTTAAATAAACGATTTTCATATTTTATTCAATTGAAGGTTTGTATTGAAAATAATTTACCCAACCATAGGCTCTGTACAAAAAATATTTACCCAACCCTTCATACCCCAGAAAAATGGCTTACCCAACCCATTTCTCTTCGGTACCAACCCCGGGTATAAATAATGAACACTCCCTTACCTGTATGAATTTCACTGCAGAAAATATGATATGCCAGTTGAAATTAAGCAACATTTCAATCAAACTTTAGAAATGCTTTATTATACACTTATATATATAAGTCATATGTTTTCTATTGTATATATAATTTATATAGAGAGAGAGCTATATGATATTGTACACGGCGGCGCGAAGACATAACTTTTATCTTCGAGTGGTGAAAACAATATTTTACGAACGAGCGCAGCGAGTAAAATATTGTTTTTAACACGAGAAGATAAAGTCATATCTTCAAGCCACCGTGTAATGTTCTGTTTATTATATAGTCCCAAGCAAAAACATGTGAAATTTCACGCTAAAAGCCAATTGGAAAAAGTCACGTGATCGATATCTTCACTATAGTGAAGATATGGAAAATATCTCACTGTCTATATTTTTCAGTATCCTACTCTCTACTATATATAATAAATTTTAATAATTATATTTATTATAGGGTTTAAATTAATTGTTGTATTGTATTATACAGTATATGGAGTGTATAAATTGCTATGGTTCACGTTTTTACGAGCTTTTTCTAGCTCTACGGTGATACGTGATTAAATAAATTATCTATCTATCTATCTATCTATCTATATAAACAGCTCAAAAATGTTTCTGATGATATCTTAAATATAAAAGAATTTTTCCACTATACTAAACAGTGGAACTGGGAGGAGCGATTCCCAACAAATTCCAGGGCATTTTGTTTCGCAAGTGCGCATATTGACATATTGATTATTGTGCGGCAAATATTTTTTTTATTGAGCAGTTTTTATACAGACTGAAGTAATTTAATTACTGCAGGCAAATGATTCTGCAATTGTTTCCTGGTTGGCATAGTCAACTGATCAAGATGATCGTTCGAAAACTCGGTCAATGTTTTGACAATCTTATATAGTTACTATTGTTTTGTTTTTGTTCAGCGTAACTTCACTTGTGCAGTAGTGCACAGTAAAAACAATAAAGTTTTGACTTTTAGCATAATGAAGCAATCATTCAATGACACCTACATGCATGCGCATGCATGGCCAGAAATCACCGACATAATTTATTGGGCTTCGATACTGATTTACCGCGATATATATATCACATTGAAATATGGCTTCCTCTGTTACAACATGCAGTCAATTGTATGACAGGATGTTGTAAATCGCAAAATCTGGAAATAAGAAAGGTCGTCAGTTGCAACCAAAATCACTGACACTGGTTGTAAAACAAAGTCTCTCGAAGTATTTAGTGTAATATTAGCATCGACCATCGTTTAAGTAACTATCCAACTTTTATATATATAGAGTTAAATAGTCATTAATTTCTTAAGTAACCTTTGTATATATGTAGATAGAAATATATAAAAAGAAGAATAGCCAATGCGCAATAACCAAGCCAGTATATTCAGTAAACACTTCGATACGACGATAGAATTTGTTTTACACCAGTAATTTCGACAAATTTCAAACGACCTACCTTAAAGTTTACGATTTACAGTTGAAGTTATATTTCAATGTGGTAATATAAATTAGCAAGTTTTTGTGTGCTATATACGTACATTAGAAATAGTTTTGGTGTTATGTGAAAGTAGGCTTGTCAAGGTGGTTTGCAAGATGTTTTCAAGGAATTGCCTTATACGCTTCATTTTTTGCAATTGGTCGGCATAAAACAACCATGTAGACATGCACTTGCCATGTCTGCCATGATATGTTTATACATATTTCGAACCTTTCATGAAGACACCAGTATTACAATCAAAACCTTTAGGTAATCCAAATGGAAAACATTAAAACCTTTTGTGAACAAACAAGTGTTTAAGCATCAATGACAATGTCATGAAATATTAAATGAAACACCAAAGCCAGGTTTGGTCCCATAAAATATTTTTAAACTTTTCTGAACACAATTTTACAACATACATGTGACTATTTCGGGTATTCAAAGTATGTCGAGCAATGTGTTGCATGCAAGCAGTTTCATCTAAAAGAGTTCTCATCTCAACAATAGAGTTTTACTATAAGGTTACTTTTGTGATCAGGAAATATTTCAAAAGGTTTATCTGCCTTAGTAAGATTAAAACTCTCGCGTGCTGTCATACTTGTTTACTATAAACATTACCACTTTCAGTAATGTGGATGGCAAGAAAGGTTGTAAAATAATTCACGATAGTGTACTAAGATATTCTTTGTGTGCACTAGCTTTATTGTAGTGTACTGCTCTATAATGTACTTTGCCCCCAAGTTATTAACCGATTTGAACATCAGACTTGAATGCTTTATTCAACTGTCCAATTGCGGCCTGACAAAAGCATGTACATGTATGCCAGTAGTTGGAGATTTTAGTTTATCAAAACCATGGTGTGTTTAGCAACAGGTTTCTAATTATACCCTTTGTAATTGAGGTGAAAATGATTGTGAGCATTTATATAGGTAAGGTTTTCTATCTTTCTGCATGATAAGATTAAATTTTTGATGTTTAAGGTCACAATATTTCTGGCTAGATTTCTGGCCAGGTTTTCAGGACATATAGCGGATCAAAAATCGTGAAGATTATCGCCAAACATTACGAAAGTATGAAGATCATTAGTAATTCAATTAGAGTGCGAGGATGTATTCCTGTCATCGGTTAAGTTTGCAATAATGTATGTCTTTCAAAGATCTATGCAACATGAGACTGGATATAAGTACCAGATTATCTGGATCATAAAGTGGGATAAATCTTCTACATTAAGAATTGTTTCGATCCACTTTATTTTTCAAGATAAACTACACTATACACATCCCACGCTAAGAACATTCACACCTATCACTCTATATACAAGAGTATAGCATACTCTTGTCAATAGATTCAAATCTTCTAAAGATCAAACATTCAATACAACGAAACGTCAGCAAATAAATTTTATTCTTTATTGTTATGTCTTGTTTGGAAGTCATTTCCTGGGCTTTTATATTTATCTTTAAAACAGTAAATCGAAGCTTTTTTCTTGTCAAAATGTCAGTTGGGCATACTAAATTTATATAGAAATGGAGCGCATACATTTCAAATACGACATACCATAAAGTTGTTTACATACACTAGTTCTCTTCTTATGTATCGAACTGTTCCCGTTACTGTAAAATAGTATATGCGCTATACATGTATACGATATCACAAGCAAATCAGTACGAAGAATTTCGTATGGTTAATATCAAGATACATAATATCATATTTTTGGTACTATAGTTTATAAACAATGTCGGTTTATATGTTATAAATTTAAAATACTTTGTTCTTATTCTGATAACACCGATATCGAATGTCATTCATTCGAGTATATTTGCATAAATTGCGGTGCTCCATTAAATTAAGACAATAATATTGCGTCCATAAGTAGATAATGATAACAAACTATTTGCCCTTTTATAATTGATTGTAACGTGTAAAGATTTCTGGATTTATCTCGAACGTTAGCGCGTCGCATGTTGTGAGTAATTACGACTTAATATGTTCACGGTAGCGCTGTACTTTAACCCAATACATATGAAACAAAGCTTTAGCTAATCAATTAACGTCAAAGCAAGGGAGATATCATACAATAAAGAAAGATAGCATGTTGATAAGGCAAGGCAAAAATTTAATCAGAACTATCAGAAGCGTGATAAGAAATCGTAAGACATAAACATTCTCCCACGGTAATATCAAAGCCTTGTGAAATGATCATTGAAAATCAAGCCCAGCTTGCAAGCTGTTTGCAATGTAGATTAATATACTGCGCTAGTGGTAAGATTATAATAAATGCGTAGTTAAAAATAATACCGGTTTTATGCCTTAAACTGGTAACTAAAGCGTAAAGGTGATGCCCAAAGAGGTATTTACTTATGAAGTATTTAAATACAACAGAATCCGCGCACATTATGCGTTTCCAAAAGACAAGCAAGAATGCTAAAAACTTTGTGACCTTTTGTCATGTTATTTCCTATATTTTGGCACAAGATACCTTTCGCACGCGTCGTTAATACAAAGCAAAAAGCGCAGACAATGGAAATTCTACGTCAAGTGTCTCTGGCATATGTTGCGTTGCGCGGATATAATGTATTACTGATATGTATACTTTAAAAATACAAATAGCATTCGTGTCTACTCAGTAATATGGTTCCATATAGGTATACAGCGTTATACATAGTAGTTCTGACGGAAAATATTAATGTTAATATACTGTTGTAAACAATGCATTTAACGAATAGTTCACGTAGACATTGTTTCGGCAATATACTTGACTTGTCGGAGATCGAGTCTGGCTTTTGAACGACTGTTTATCTTAAGCAAATGCACCAAGTCGTTTATGTACGCTAGCGCTTGATAGACGCTTCGTTTTGTATGAAACAACACGTGCAATCATTTGCCGAAGGTTTACTTAAAGTGCATCCGCCTCTTTGTTTTTCCAGACACTAATCAAGCAATCACAACTTTATTTCAACTATTAACTTGTAGACACGAATTCCTTTGTTATACAGGAAAAGCATCTCACGTTATATTTCATACAGCGTGTTTATCATTTTTAGTGTGTGTTGATCATACGTCGTTGTGCCGCATACATAGATATCTTTGAATCAATACATTGGAATCATACTGAACACTGACGAAGTATAATATTGTAAATTACGACCAGACGGTAGTTGATATATGTGTAGACATGAAGTTGGTTTATGGCCGTTTATGAGACGAATCATCATTATATTGTGTTTGGAATCGGACTATAAATAAACGTGAAACATCATACCTGTAAATACAGCATCTATCTCATATGGTATAATACCATATTTCCAACGCCGACGACTCAACGAAGTAGCTGCTCTCCTTGTTCTTTTCATACGCAATAGTTCATACTTTGTTATGGCTATATCGCCATTCACAAAAGCAGCTGAAACAATTGGAAATCAAGTGAATGGTGTTAGAAGAAGCAGTATCGTGAGACATGTATCTTGCTGTGACATGACGGAGCTGGCTGGAGAAAAAATTTGAGATAAAATTAGAAAAAAAACTCACAAAGTTTACAAGAAACCAACCTGCTTTGCATGGGTCGTAGTCATCTTCACCGGAAGATACTAAACTTGTCGTGGAAAACAGCGCAAGTAGCGCGCAATTCATGAATAATACAAAGTTCATAGTTATTGTTGTCTGTGTTGTCTACGTTCAAACGAAGGATGATAGCAGGACGTGGCGCGGTGTAAATGTAAACCTTCAAACTCAACGGGCGTGTGCGACGCAACCTTAACCCTGGCGATCGTTCTCTGGTGTAATGTTACGCTCTGTTATTACTCCGTGCTTTAAATACGATACCACATGTTATTATAAGCAACGTCAATGATTTATGCAACGGATCACGTGTTGAACGGAAAGCACTTTTTAAAACCACAATTATATCCACTTCAGTCGATAACTTAATTGATTTGAAGAATGAAATATGTCATATGCTCAAATGCATTGAACATGCAAGCTCACAGGCACGACTGAATATTCATACACTTCAGAAAATATCACTGCAGTTCTTAACTATATGTTTAACTGTGGTTTTAGCTAGAAACTTTTCAATGAAACTATTTGGAAAATTTTAGTTCACATATCACTCTACAGAAACATCTTACGGTGAAATTAAAGCTGCATAACAGCTCGAATAATAGAGCCGAGAAAATGAATTTCAAACAACCGTTTTTATATCAAGAGGCTTTACACTTTTCTCTCATGCTGTTGACGACATTGCTGGCATTCTACTGCAAACGGTGTAAAAATAAATGAGTAAAAATATAACATTTTGTCTGGAGTGTAAAGGCTGAATATTGATGAAAGGAAATTAACATTTCAACTTGAATTGAGACTTTTAAGAAATCTTTCACCAGTTCAATTGTAAAAATTACATAAATAGTGTAAATGGTCAAGTGCTAAAGACCCAGCTAAAAATTGCATGTATGTCTGCGCAACTTTAGTCTTTACACTTGAATAGTGAATTGGAATATATATTTTTTATTGTTGGCCAGTTTCTTTTGAACGCATATTTAAAGTAAAAATTCACATTATATGGTAATTAATAAATTGTCTCCGTTTCAACGGTCGATGTTTTAGGGAAATCTTCATAACAATATAGAAATACTATATATGACAAGAGCCAAGACAACGTCTTAATAGGAACAAAATTCTCCTCAAATTCTGGAATTTTATTGAATGGATGAAACCTACGTTGTGAAATAAGATGTTTATGGGACAACTCCTGGATTGACAACTCGTCACTTATAATTTTTCTCTTCAAAAACATTAAAATAACATTATATAACATGTGAGCTTAAATACATTTCTTAAATATCTAAATTGTTTATATGTTACTTGTCTAAAATAGTTATCTGGGAAATAATAGTTTATAATTTTATAAATTGTCTTCGTTTAATTAGTTGCTAAACATTATCGCGTAGACGTTCACTATCGACACTATCAATATCATACCTTATTGGAACTCCATGACATTAAGAATATCATTATATATAATGTTGTTAGTAAAAAAATGTAAAATATGAATATATAGTATCATGCTGTTTCACTCCTAATTAGACGTGGTTAAGTGCGACATCAATTATTAGCTTTCCTTTCGAGCACTTTGTTTATTACAAATGGAGTGCAGGTACAGTAAGATAAATTGCAGATTGTAGGAATCTATTCAGACCGTTGACCACTCCATCGCGTCCATTGACAACTAAATACCCTTTCGTGCTACAGAGTACGTTCGCGCCAGAGAAGGCAGATACAACGTCATAAATAGTTAAAATAATTCATTCATCACTTTCTCAGAAGGATCTTCAATGTGCAAAAACATTTTAATTAAGTGAAATGAATAATTGACCAGTTGAAACCAATTTTTGTAGTTTTGGGGAAGCAATTTTCATTTGGTTAGCTATACACACATTCCGGCACTACAATGCGTTTTCAGTGTGGAGCTTTATATATATCAGCACAAATATATATATACCAAAATACTTGCTGATAAAAGCTTAATTAGTTAAGTATTACACGAATAAGATCAAGTTATTTTTATCCATGTGTCTTCCAGAATTGTTTATCTCCAATAACGTTTGATAAAGATAAAAACTTTAAATTTCACATGACTGGTATTTGGGCTATTTTTAGCTGTATTTAGCCGTGGTCTCGTTTTATTTTGAGCTTTCGTCTCAAATCCCAGGCCTGCAACGAGACGAGACGAGGTTATGGAAAAAGTTGACCATGCAGTTCACTGCAAATGGCATCCCCCCTCCCCCGCCACTTAATTTATGATCTGAAAAATAATTAACGTGTGTATTCACGTGTTCAATTGACATCTGGTCTACGTTTTAATCCACTCTCCAACATGCAAGAAAATTTGCACACGCAATTAAATAGCAATCCAGCCAACAATCATTGCGAGCTCACGAAAATCTTGCGGCGCCGCTTGACAAGAAAATTTACCCTAATCTTTGTTTTCCAAACGAAAAAAACGTCGAAAGCAATAAGTATGGCTACTGGCCAGCAAATTTGACAAAGTAAATCTATTACTGGTGAAAATTTTTCAAGATCAAATCTTGTTATTTCCTTGACTTGCTGGCGCTGTGCCTATTTTTAGTTGAGTATATGTACAAATTAGATTTGTTTTTTATCTGATCATATTCCCGGCAACCCTAAGGCGCTATTTCTGCTTTTAGTTTCTCGAGTAACTATAAATCAGGAAGTAATACAAAAAATGATAAATTGTTGTTTTTGGTATCAGATATTCACATATAATACAATTTGCACCTCATTTTTTCCGCATGTTTATAAAATTTGATTATGGTTAATTGTATACGCTATACTGTACATTGAAATGAAGGTTTGGATGCTGTACTGCAACATGCCGCAACGTGATCCAAAATTTCATAAATATTATGCATTCCTGGCGTATTTGTGTCATAAAATTAATAGTTCTTGCAACATAATGTGCAAAGTTGTACAGAAAATATTCATTATTTCGAAATACATTCATTGTTCTATCCAAATGAACATTTATGTGATTAAAATACTCAGGCATGTTTTATGCAAATATTTTTTTGCATTTGCCAACATATAACATCAATAGCTCAGTCACGTTTTGCATGAAATTCCAATTCCTTCATCAAAATGTCAATTAGTCAATTTGGTTCTTTTGTCGAAGTTTCCGGTCATGACCGCTGACATGAGTCAAATCAGATAAATGGTTGTTACTCATTATTGTCGTATTTTATTCATTAACTGTTCAGTAATACTAATAGTACGAAGTTTAAATGCACCTATAAGGCTGCATTCAGAAAGAGGTTTATATTAAATCGAGGAGCACTGCAAAAAAATTTGACTCAAACTCCTTGAATAAAATAATGCATCCACACGCAGTAAAATTACTCAAATTAATGAGCAAATTCATTCATTTTTCTTAGTAAGGTAACAATGAGTTTATACTCATTTTTTTGAGTAAGATAAACTTGAGTAATTTTACTCAAAAATTGGTCAAATTTAGTCAAAATAATCAGGGATATTTTGCAGTGATCAGGGGTGGACGGGGTGGCGCTCGACCTCTTTGAATGTTGGGGTTTAAGTGAATTTGCTACCATCGCGGATATTCTTTTACATTAAGATTAACATTTCTATAGTGCAAATTCACATGTGGATGTGATCAAATGCGCTTTACATCAAGTATTATACGCTTACCTAATTACTTACTTAGCCTAGACTATTCTTTACAACAATTGTGATCCTTCTTTCTTAACTGTGTTTATCCTAACCCACCCTGTCAACTTTCCCTGTGGGTGGAAACCGGAGCACCCGGAAAAAACCCACGACTTTCGACAGAGCGTTGACTGACTCTTTTCACATGAGTCCATAGGCATAGGCATAGCGAGAATCAAACCCACGATCTCAAAGGTGAAAGGCGCTTGCTCTGTGCTCTGACGAGTGACAACTGCGCCACTGAAGCCCCACATGCTTATGTAGCCTGCGTGATTGCGCAAACTCTATGAATTTGGGTGGTAGGCGTTTCAGCGCACTCCTCTTCCTGTTTTCCTGCCAAGAAATGAGCCGACATTATTGTGTAGACACATTGTACAATTCTACACTTCATCAGTTGAGTTCTATACATCTTTTTAATTTCTTATGAGAGTTAGAGCATATATTCTAAGGAAATTGCTATGGTAATGAATGGATATAGGAATATGTTTGTCATTAACTCGGAGTATTAAAGACATTTCCCGCTCTATATGGAAATAATGGAATCGAGCCATAAAACTGTGCCAGAAAGACCACTGTGAAGTTATAATTGCCGATGATGAAAGCGATTTCGGTAAATTATAGTTTTAAATATACTTTTCTATCACTGATATTCCTTCAAACAATGTTTCACCATATAAAGGCTAGCCACCAGAGTGGTATACAAATTTCAAGTATGAGAAAACGACATTTTCACTCCAGGTACGGTAATTAAGATAATGAGGACGTCCGGTTGTTAGCAAAACGGTCTGTAATCAAAGTGACAAGTACTCTAAAATGACGTTAATAATTTTGTTGCCAAATTTTGCCGAGTTTGAACAGTGTGTGGAGTCTAGTAAACAGCAATTAGGAAACAAGTGGTTAACAGTCTGGTGAAACGTACGACTAAAAATCAAATAATATTTGGTGAAACTTTTAATCACGTATTGTTAAAAGTACAATAATGTACCCATTGCGAAAACACGTCCAATAAAAACAATGTTTTCTCGTACGTCACACACGACACAACATTTACACGTGTCTTAAATAAGCAAGTTGTTATAAAAATAATTATCGATAACCCCGGCATCATTTATGCATGTTGACTGTAATTGACTGAGATTTTATTATAACTAGCTATATACTTGAAAACAAAAGGTCAGCGACTTAATTGTATCTAAAAACTAAAATCAGGGCCGATTTTGGAATATGCGTCCGCCATATATGGGGAGACTGCTGCTATAATCTTAGGACTTCAGAAACAAACATTGCCATCTTTTTTGCAGCGACGTATCTATTACGGAAAATGAAAAAATGTGACACATCCATGTAATAAACTTGTTCCTATTGTAAAAATCAATCATTATATGATCTTAGAACTGGCAGGCCCGACCATATATTTTCTCCCACACCTAACGACATGATCTTTTGATAAATTGACTCAAGTTATGAAAATCTTACTGGTACATTTTACTGATTTTAGCTATTAAATTTGATATTGTTCTATATATATTTTAATGATGTTAAAACTCATATTATTATTATAATATTTATAATACCAAAATTATAGCCTAAATATGTTTCTAATCCTTGTTCCAAATGTCACAGTTGAAATTATAATTATCTCCACTCAAGAAGTTGGTGAAAGTCCAAACAAATAAAGCTTGCATGTTTTTTTTTAATAAAAAATAAAGCTTTTTTCTTCTTTATTTTGTTTTATTATATTTTTTTGCTTATTAAATTTTTTATTTTAAATCTTATTTTTTTACAAAGCTTATTTTAATCCAGTGATATATATTCATATTTCGTTAGTATAGTAAGATCATCGGTAATTGTACAAAAGGTCTAAGTACTGTGTGTAACAGGCTCTCTAACATAGCCAACAATGTTGCCCCAAACACCGAGCATCCACTGCCAACACTTTTCAAGTAATGTTTGATACTGTTTCATTTGAAAATATTTTAAAGTATGGATTTTCAACAACAACCCAGTGTGGGTTAACCGTAATACTTCTGGTTGAATTTCCTGATAATTTTAACCTTTTTCCTACTATATATATAGTCTACAGTTAATTGGATCAGGACTTGATCAGTACTTTTGGTTAAATTAACCAAACTATGTTAGCTGGATATATAACCAGGATAACTAACCAAGGACCCTGGTTATTTATCCAGCTAATATGGTCAGGACGTCCTGGTCAAATATATAACCAGATTAAATAGTAAAATAACCGGGAAGTTTAAACAGGAATATTAAATTAAGTTAACCGGCCAAATACTGAATAGGTTAATCACAAAAATTTAAACCAGAAAGTTTTAGAATGTCTTACACATACTACTAAAGAATGCCAATTTGAGGCGTACCACATATTTTATACTGACCACAAAATAATTATGGACGGTTTAAATCAAATTTTTGTTGAATATTATTATAAATACAAGAATATCGAAGATACTTTAGGATTGGGTTGGCGGCAGGCTTATATGAAGTATAGGCTTTAAGCATACATAAACTACTTGCCCAGTGCATTTCGGTACACGTTTATAGACGAAGGCTTAATTGATGTACATTATTATTTGTATGCCGGCGTGCCGTTAGTTTGGTCATATTTCACTTCACATGTACACGACTCGCAATGTCATATAAATTCTCCTAGCCTAAACATACTACATTAGAATACAGAGGACCCACCGCAAGCGTGGTTTTTTCAAAGTGTCGGATCTCCACCGACTTACATGTTTAGACTAGAGGGAGCCTCGCCCTCCTTCATTTGATATGCATTGCAAGAACGCTAGCGATACTCAGAACCACTTGATTAATTAAGTCATTTCAATACATATATTCATTTCGCCTTTCAAGTAGTATGGTGGTTGAACTAGGGCTTGTGATGCATGGTGAAACAAGGCTTGCCAAATCATTATGTATATTGGTATTAACCTCCCTGCTGACTTAGCCTGAAATTGCAAGATGTGTACTATATAGAAAAGAACCATTTGATTTGAGTAATAAGTTGTTTACATGGAAAATCTCAATCAAGGTGTTGCATAAACCGCAGACGACTGGGAAAATGATCAGCATTTCAACACCAGTAAGGGCTTGAAATGAACCATGCTTACATAATGCTCTACGTAACATGTCGTGACAGTTGTCTGGCGAGTGGCAGTTTAGATTTTTTATATGCTCGTGTATAACATCCGGTATATTTTGTATTTTTGATCAACAATTTAGCTTAAATATATGCACTTCCCAACAACGCAGAAGACGTAGGACAGTTTGCGTCACAGATTACATGCGAACTTGCATGAACGGACGTGTTGGAAAGGAACGACGGCCAAAAAGCGGCGTGTATCATCTATAATAGGTGTTATATACCTTACGTCATCACCGCTACGTTAGATGAATTTGACACAAGATTCCCCAAAGAATTTTCCTTGTTTGCAATTCTATTTTAATGGCGAAAATAATCGCGTTGACGTTTCAATCCTTGGAGATTTGCTGCACAACACTGACAACAGTAATATAATATGAAAAATATATTTCATGCTGTTGATATATTCAATTGATAAATGTATGCGCCTTGTGGCTCACGGTATCAAATAAAAAATATGCTTCTGATTTCATTTATATTTCTCTCAAAGAAATCAATGTCTTTATAATATATTCATTGGCACAGTTTGACTAATTTTATATAATCATTCATAATATTATGATTTCATTCATAATATTATAATTTCTGCCTCCTCCACAGGCTTTTTTTTATATATTTTGGCACGTACAAGTGGCATATATAGATCAGTACTTGGAAAGACGTTTGTGAAGCATGATGAGAAAGCCTATCATTAGTCCACCTGCCTGCAACGATGCTCCCGCAGCCCTGAATTTATGTACATAAGCGACTCTGAACGAGGCAAATTTGAACTCTCATTGAGAAGACCAATTTCCAAACAATATCCATCTTCAAATCTTGTATGACGGAACTTTCTCTAAGCCGCATTCAAACACAGAATATCCATCTTATTTTTTCCTGATAAGCTGGAATCTAAACACTATATATTGATTTTTATAAATAAAGCTCAAATATTTACCAATAAATCGATTCTGTATAAGATGAAACCACTACATCCGTGAAGCCAAAATGACTTACACGAAATAAACGTCGTTCCTGAGAAATGAGTTAATATAGATAATAGAGATAAATAAATAATTTGAATTAATCAAGTATCATGTTAAGTTCGCTGTCAATCATACTCACACTGCTTTAAATAACAGTTCGAAACTGAGGTTGAAAGCTTTTAGATGTAGACCCAGACTATTGTTCCTTGTATGCATGATGCCCTAGAGAACAGATTTATCCGATGTATTCACAAAAAGAAATATTTGCAATTATTAAATGACGTACGTCCACTCAACTTCCTTATAATTATTTCGTAACAACCATACAAAAATCTAATTCTAATTTTTTTTAAAACTTTTATCAAGTAGTTAAAACCAATTGTACTATACACACATATTTGCCATCTAGGCTATTCGTTTAATTTGTACTATCATGGATCTGTTCCACAAGTCTCACAGTTTTATACTAGGAGTTACTATCTCAAGGAAAGTGCTGCCTTTTGCCACATGAACTGAATGCAAAATTAACTTGTGTGGTTATATACACATACAAAGCCACACTGTATGTATCAATTTATTTTATAGTCAAAATTGAGATTACAACACTCGGTTTCACAGTGAAAAGTGTATCGGAAAACCACTTCCAGTTCACAAGCCAATACACATTGGAGTGGATTATTGTCAACACTGAATTTTTGTGACCAACCATAATGAATTTGAAGTTCTAAACATCAATAGAAATACTGTATGCTATCAGAAATAGAATAGTTTGGAATTCAGAATGATACATGTCTTTAAATCATTGCCGTCATGTCATTTGTTGACTATTCTTGTTAGATCAACTTAGATGTAATGTGCTGCATCTGGAATTTTTACTTTTTGGTAAACAAATTTCTGTCTTTTCTTTGCCCCATATATGCAGATGTTTCATAAATCATATCTGTCCAGTGATAAATTAATACAGCACTGAAATCCATAACATGTACAGCAAATTGTCCAATCCAAAACAACTCCGAAGCACATTACACAGGATTCCTCACGACAAATATATAATTTCGAGAAAATTTCTTTCCATTACAGATGATGAAGCATATTCATATAAAATTATTTGGTAACAAACATTTTCTCGAAGTAAAAATCAGAGGCCATTGGGTTAAAAGTGGATAAACAGCATTAAGAAGGTCTATTATAAACCCATTAGCTGGCAATACACCCAACCTTAGTATTAACTCTGTCCAACGCCAGACAATTTTACACTGTGTACGATTTTACTTGTCAGTGGTAGAGTACTGTCCGTAAATGGGTTAACAAACCTATCTGCCAATGTCTCTTATTAACCCATTAGCTGGCAATGCGCCCTACTTTAGTATTTACTGTCTATAAACGCCAGACAATTCAAAATCCCCCATGACGACAAAACACCAAGACTAAATGATTACATATAGCCTGTCGTCTTTCAGCCAGATATTTAATATACATGGTAAACATAGTTAGTAGTCTTTACAGCAGCCATTCCTCGACTTTGTATCGACGAATTGTCGCTCGAGCTAGTTGATTCACCGCAGAGACAGTTGAGAGATATTGAAGACACATTAATATAGTGACAATACTGGACTTTCAACCCCCTCATTTTACAAACGAACTTGAATATACTTAATGAACCCCCTGGAAAATGGAAATGGACCGACATCTCCACTGCATGGGTAATGTCTAAAAGGGATAGACGAGAGGTAGTTTACGAGATGGTTCCAAAATTGAAATAATTAACGTCAAGAATAGGGTGACGTCAAGAATAGGGTGACGTCAAGAATAGGGTGCTGCCGAGCTGAGGCTCGGCAGCAATTACACAATAATCTATCCAACAACAGTCAATATGAACTACGGTTTCAATTCACCTTTCATCGAGAGTCATTATATATGTGTTTATTATACAATCTAGTTGACTTGTCATAATCAGGAAGGGATGTATTTTCATATAACATATATACCTACTTAAGTGTTAATTATCTATATTGATGATAAATATACTCAACTTATACTTCTTCTCAAATATAAAATGTTGCAATCATTTCCGCAACGACAACGTCAACATGCACGATGCGAGTTGCTGAGCACATTATTTACATGCAAGGTCAAAATGAAAATAACAGTTATACTTTACATATATAATCTGCGTGTACAGAAACAGCCACAAACAATTCTTGACATTTTTATAACATATGCATACTCAACTATAATTTTCCACACATGTTTCCTATTGAACTTGTGGTTTATTTCGTTTCCGTTTAAAAATGAACTCATGCTGATATTGTTTCATTTAGTTTATTTTTAAAAAATTAACACATATCAATGGTTTTAGTAGACGTGAAGATGATTGATTAGTATATTAAAAAGACGAATACTAAACAACAATAAAATAATAATATTATTATATAAAATAAGCACGCGATTTCTATTTTTTGTTTTTATAGATGGCTTAAAGGCGAATCAAAGGCAAATATCTTGCTCGCATATTTTTATTAAATATCTTAAATATTTATGGTATCATTATTAGAATGGTGTATAGGAAGAGTTCGTAATCATGCAGATCGTATACGGTCCAACCTATATGAACGGGTTTGTTGACTGGTTCATCGTAACAACAAAAGACAGTGAAATCTTTCCAAAGACGAGCCAAAACACTGGTTACTATGGTTTTATGAAGCCAATCACGAGCCAAAACACGACCATTGGCGGCACGCAACCTTGTCCCCAATGCCAATGGAAAGAGTCTGGGAATGAAGTTGCACGACACGCTGCGTCTACAGACAGCCCACGAAACGGGAAACAATGTGAAACCTCTTTTCCTTTCATCGCAAGAGTCCCTCGCAAGCTCACTCCACTATTACAATGCTCCACAGCTCGACAATTTATTTTAATTAGATGCAAGCACTCACAGCGAGCTTGCGCGCGAGTTGACTTTTGTGATGAGTGGAAGTTTGATTTGTTTGTTTACTGAATAGTTTGTTTGTTTGTTTGTTTGTTTGTTTGTTTGTTTGTTTGTTTGTTTGTTTGTTTGTTTGTTTGTTTGTTTGTTTGTTTGTTTGTTTGTTTGTTTTGTTTGTTTGTTTGTTTGTTTGTTTGTTTGTTTGTTTGTTTGTTTGTTTGTTTGTTTGTTTGTTTGTTTGTTTGTTTGTTTGTTTGTTTGTTTGAACCATTCAATAAGTTCAATTGGCAATTATGCTTTAAAAGCAATTGGGACTATAACGTCCTATATACCCAATTCCTGCCGTTGTATTGTATTGTATTGTATTGTATTGTATTGTATATATATATATATATATATATATATATATATATATATATATATATATATATATATATATATATATATATATATATATATATATATATATATATATATATATATATATATATATAAAAAT